GAGATTCAACTACCCCATCCTAATTTCAAGGAACAAATATATTTCTCCACCAAGAGTTTTTCTATCCGGATTCAGGAATGGTGCCATGATTTCCAGTATTTTTGTTTGTTCCTACATCTCTTTAGTGCATGGACAAGTGATAATTTTAGTCAATAAGACCAATTTTTAAAAAAGGGAGTATTTGGGAACTTTGAGAAATAATTGCTTATCCTTAGGAGAAGCACAGGAAGAAAACAGAGGAATCTGGATAAGTGATTTCAACACTGGTTTTAATAGTGGTTAGTGTTAGTTATAATGGTAATGGTGGTTCTTAGCAAAAGAACATATCTCAAATAAAAATATATATCTAAGTTGAATATCCTTTATTTCTTGGTGTATGGATCACCCTTGTTCATTGTTTAAGAAATTTTTAATTTGATTAAAATTCTTGATATAAGCCAGGTGTCGGTGACTCATGCCTGTAATCCTAGCTACAGGAGGTAAAGGTCAGAAGGCTCTCTTTTCCAAACCAGCCTAGGAAAATAGTTTGCAAGACCCTATCTTGAAAAACCCATCACAAAAATAGGTGGGGTGGCTTAAGATGAAGGCCCTGAGTTCAAGCCCCAGTACAGAAAAAAAAATCTGATATAGAGATATCATGTAGTTAGTACATGAACATATTCTGGCTCTTAATATGATCATAACTTTTTATGAATATATTTTTGATTTGAGAACTAGTATGCTTCAAGGCCCTGTGATAAGAACTCCGGTTCTATCATCCTGACCACAGCCAACTGGACTCAAGGTAAACATCTAGTTGAATGCACTGGAGAGTTTGTAAAGTAGTTGATGTGAGCATTTTGATTAATAACAGTTTTAAGTGATGCATTGGAATTTGTGTGACGTTTGACTTTCCCCTTCTCCCTGCCAAGAGAGCACTGAACTCCATTAACAGGCTTGTCTACAGATCCTCATTCCATTCATATTCATAAATTATCCAATTTGAAAAAGAAATTGGTGGCTCCTTGGGGCATTCATGAATTATAATATTTTTCTTTACTTTTTATCCAGATTAACTCTAAATCCTGGCTTCTGAAATGTCAAGCTTGCCTGTCAGTCTGTTGGCTGATATTCATTTGTTTCCCCTTATTGCATGTGAAGGCTAGGAATCGCTTAGCACAACATTCTGCGAGATTGTGATATACCAGTTTTGTCTCAGGTCTTGTCCACCTCCCTCACGTTTACTCCAGGAGTAGCACAGCAGATCTAGTTCCAAACTATTTTCTTTATAAACGTTAATCCTCTCTCACTGAGGTTTCCACAGAGCCAATTGCCCTTTTAGTGATATTGCGGTATTCAATTAATCAAATGCTGGCTGTACTTGCTCCTTTTCATCTTAAAATAATCCCTGGAAATATCATGTTGAACATCCACTGGCAGAGCAAGAAAAGTAGCCACAAAGTGTAGCTGGGTGTTGTATTAACATCAAGATAGAAATAACATTCTATAAAATGTTAAATTTTCACGTTAACTTTAGAATATATCATCAGTCAGTGAACTGCAAGTATGAGGCTCTGAGTTCAAATCTAGGATTGCCAAGAAAAAGGAAAGGGGGAAGAAAATATCAAATCATACCTCTGACACTCTAAGAAAAATTTCTTCCTGATCCTTTTCTTTATTTTATTTTGGCACTGCTGGAGTTCGAACTCAGGACCTATGTGCTTGCTAGTCAAGTGCTTTACCACTTCTCTAGCTTTTCTTCTTAAAATAATTTTTAAATCATATTGATTCTCTCTGAAGATCTGTTCATCCAAATCCATCTCTCTGAAATATGTGTACAAATTATCATATCTTCCTAATATGCTTAACTTCATAGGAAGTCCATATTTGTTTTCATATGTGTTTACATGAGATTGTGCATATATGTGTGTTTGTTTGTGTACTTGTCTGGCTAGTAAAATTTATTGCCCAAATATCTTTTGTTCCTTCTCTCTTCAACAAGTAAGCTGAAGAAAATCCAAAGAAATTGAGGACAGTGACCAAAATATCTGAATTTGAAGGAAAGTGAAGAAATTCTACCCCAATAACATATGTTTTTATCACATAGGTAAAATAATTAGCCATAGTTAAACAGCTGCAGGAACTGAGGCAGTAGGCATATACTGTTTGACAAAAACATTCAAAAACTATTCCTTTCACCATGTTTTCACTTTATGGAACAAGGTGAGGTATATAGATTCTTAAGAGAAAAACAGGATCACATAGAAATGAGCACTGAAATTCAAAAGCAAATTCAGCCTCATCCTTAACACATAACTACTATCCACCCAAACAATAAGGCAGGTAACCAGAATCCTATAGGGTTTGAGTGTACTCTAAGATGATGTGTTAGTAGATTGGTAACACTAAATTTAAGAGCAATTTTGGCAAATGCTCAAGTTAAGATCCTAACAGCAAGAACAAAAATGAAGAAAAAAACTAATTTAAAAAGACCAAACATAATTAGATAAGAAAAGTGTATACCAAAGGGAAGTACCTAAAGTTTTCAGCAGAACTAGAGGAAAGCAACGGTTTGAGGAATGAAAAGTAGTGTTTTATTCTCCATTAGCATTTTAAGATAACATTCTCTACCTTTGTACATGGACGAATCTGTGAATATTTAGTTATGTGACGTGTGTGAGTTAATTTGGAGGATATTTTCAGATAATAAGTTTTTAATTTGATTTCATTTTCCCTGATGGCTATTACCTTTTGAATCAGTTATATTTGCTATTGGAGAAATTAGGTGAACATAGCTAGACAAGACAGTGAGTTACTGAATGATGCTTTAAATAAGCCAAAATCAATGTTTTTGAAAAGTAAAGTATTATTTTGCAAGGATCTAATTCTGGAAGTAAGCATTATTAGTCTTATTCATATTATTAGTTCTATTAATTTGAAGTAGGGTACTTAAAATTTTCTGAGGTCTGGATTTTACCTTACACAGGGAAATCGAGCACGGGACATAGCACTGACGTTTTAGAAAAAGATACAGAATGTTGTCAAGTTTAGATTTCACATTGCCCAAGTGGATGCGATAGAAATTGTACTGGGGAAAACAAGTGAGAAAAGGACTTATGGAGTGTTGTGCTTTTTCTCTTGACTTCTGCTTACCTCAGCCAAATCTCAGGGGTGTTTGATGGCTGTAAACACTTTGCTTTTGTTCAGGGTCTTTGAAAACCCAGAAGCATTGCTCAGTTTCTGGGAATATGATGACACATTCTGACTCACAACAGAGTTGTATTGACAGCATAGCTACAAAGTTTGAGTAAAAATGCTGAAATAAGGATCTTGTTAACTACATGCATGAACCTAAGTGTGACATGAGAGGACCAGTTTACAATGTCTTCCACAGTCCCATTCTCAAGTGTTTTAAACTGACTATCACCTGTCTAGCTCTTTCAGTTGAGCCTGGGATGAGGACGAGGGCATGTCGATCACAGTAGGTGTCAGTACCACAATGGGGCCACTGACTGTGTGCAGGACATGGACAGGAAAATCACCATCCTCAGGAGCTGAAACAGAGCCTTGCACTAATGTCAGGGAAATGCTGAAATGGTCACAGGAACTTCAAAAAACTGTTAGAGGGAAAGCACAAAGAAAATGTTCTCTTTCAAATTGGTTGCCCCTCCAAAAGAAAAAAATAAAAATGTACGTTATCAGTATAGCTGAGAATGTTTGAGCTGATATAGATGTGGCTAAATGGCTTAAAATATGAATATATGAATCTTGTAGACTGTTGGGGCTGTGAAAATTTTTACTCAATTTTACTATGTGATTAATGAGATATTGATGGATTAATTGTGGATATTTTAATAATATCTACTATATAAATAAACTTTACCCGCCCATAAAAAGGTAGGATAATACTTCACTAAGCAGATAAATAGATTTACTAAGTAACACTTCATGCATGAGGATATTTGACAGAGTATATCTTCATCTGGTTTTGCTTCATATTATATTGGCACCTAACATTTTTTGGTAGCTATGTATTCAAAAATGGACAGTAACCTACATCAGTTATCATCTAGTTTTTCTAGTTCTCAAAAGCTATTACTAGAAATCTCACCCCTCCTCTGTTATCCTTCCCTTGTTATAAAAATAAAAATATAAAAAATGGATCTGCTTATAGTCCCAATTATCTTCCTGAAATTTGAGGCCATCTCCTCAAAATAATTTGCACATTAAAACCTTAAAATATTGTTTCATAGGAATTATGGTTTAAAACATTGTCTGCCTTACCTTAACCATCTCTGATTTGATTCAAAAATATTTTTAAACTAAGAAACAGCTTTTGAGTAAATTATATGGAAAAACTTCATGTAATTCTTAATGCATAAAAACTATCTGTAGCCAAATATACTTAAGAATATGAATAAAGTGCAAAACATTTACTTAATAATTGAATCAAGGAAAATAAGATTTATTTAATTTAAACACTGCTTTATCATTTTTATTTTACTTGACTCCCAGCAGAAAAGACTGCTCATGAAAATGCAGCCAGAAAGCCAGAGGCCCTGGATATACTCTGGACATCTGTGTCTGCTTTAAATCAATCATTTGTTTCATGATCAAATCCCCAAGCAGGGGACATGGTCTTTCCACCAGCAGAATTCTCTTACATAAGTTCCTTCCTTGTTAACTCAACCTAATAAGCACTTTTATTTTCTTTTTGCTTGCTGTTAAGAAAAAGACAGAAGAAGAAGAGAAAAAGACAATCAGTTCCTACTACTTGTCTATTTGTCTGCATTTTAATCCCAGACTATGAGCGAACGTCAGAGTGCCTTATGATATTTTGCACAAAAGGCTCAGTGTTCATGACTCTACTCAGAGAACCAAAAATAGCAGTCAGTAAGCAGTGACATACTGACAGTGCTGTGGGACTAAAAGCACGCCTGTAGCGCAGAGCCATGTGGCACATTGAAAGTTTGCTGAGAAGCCTGTGAAGAAAATATCTTTCCTTCCCTTCCTTGTGTGCCTGATGAGAAGCTTGAATTTCAATTTCCTCAGAAGTCCTGAAATTTGAAGCTGTGTAGGTAAGACTCTGATAATCGAACATGTTTTGGTTTATGTAAATCATTTCTTTTTTTATTAGACAAGGTCGCAAAGAAGTTGGGAAACTGTTGCTAGTCCATATTTCATAAGAAAAATATTTAAAAAAATTGAAACCAGAACATGTGCATTGAACTTTCTCCAAAACAAGTATCTGTGACAACAAATCTTCAGTGTCACAGTACAGACTGACAGGGGAAGAAAATGCGCTTTTTTGATGATCATATCTTAGGAAATTTAGAATTTAAGTTTCTTGGATGAATGGATTTTATTTTTCAATTTTATTTATCTTTGTACAATCAAGCACAGTGGACAATGAAGTTCTGACCCCTGACGTTGTGTGAAAACTTATTTAGAAAGTAACTATTTTAATGTAAAAATTTATTACTTAACAAGTATTTTCAGAATGGAATTTTCCACATATGTGAAAAACACTAAGTTCTTCACTGAAGGAAAACTATTTTCAAAATTTTTTCTTCGTCTTGTCCAGATTTTGACTAGTAAACTTTTTTATTCAGAAATTCTTAACAAAATATTTAAGTAATTAAAATGCTATAATAACTTAAAGCTAAAATATTGAGCATTGTTATGAATGCAAATGTATTCATATCTACATGTATGTTTATATGCATTATATCAATTATATGTAATGAAAGGATAATTCATCAAATATGAACAATACAAAAGTATAAATTAAGAAAACCTAAAATATGAACATTAAATATTTTTAATTCTAATTTTGTTTAATTATAAATATATTGCTAATTTTAATAACATATTTCACAGTAAGTTTACCAAAAATAGGTAGTAAATAAGTTACAAAATATGTAAAACACACATGTTCAGCAACAATAATATTCACATAAGACAAAATGTTTTCTTTTCATAAATTTATACTTTAGGTCAATAAATTCATTTTCTGAGCTATCATGTCTTCAAGGAAGATAATATTTAAATTAAAAATAAGTAGGAAGGCAAATATAGTGTAAACACTGTGTACACAAGTATGTAAATGGGAAAGTGATACCTGTTGAAACTGTAGGGGAGAGGGATAAAGGAGCATGATGTAGCCGGTGTATTATATATTTGATATAATGTAAGAACTTTTGTAAATGTCACAATGTACCTGCACCACAACAATAAGATATAAATAAATAAAACAATGCAGTAGATGGGGTAAATTGATGGTGACATATTATAAGCAGTTGTGAAGTGTCATAATGAAATCCCTTTGTACAAATAATACTGCTAATAAAAAGAAAAAAATGCTGCTTCAGTAACATATTTTGGACATATCTATAATATCAAGTAAGTGTGCATAATGCATTTATCAGCATTTATATAATTAAAAATATATATATAATATTCTTCATTCCAAATGTTAAGTAATTCAAATACTTTATGTTATCGTAAGCACATATACACACTATATTTTCTAATTTTAAATATTTATTTTCCACATAGTACAAATGCTTCCATTTATCAAATTTAATAACCAATTAAAGTGTTTCTAAAAACATTTCAGAATTAAATGTCCATGATTATTTAAAATTTTAATAACTACCTTGTCTTTAAAAATCACCTAACTTCTTTTCTTTACACGTGTTTTTTACTTTATCAATACTTTATAATTAGTGAATATATAAAATCATTATATAAATTATAGCTGCATTTTATAGCCTAATATGTTATAAATTTTTCTTTTATTTGTGTGCTTATATTCACCATTTTTAAAAGTCTTAAAACTTTTTATCTACTTAAAGTTTTTTTGTTTTTTCTACTCTTGGATATTTCCAATGAAGTTTTCTACAGTGTTATTTAAAATTAGTTTGATTAAATTATCAAAATTGAAAATACTGTAAGTTGACGTGCATTTTAAAATCTTCAGCAAATGAAATGGTCTTTGAGGGAGTTAGATATGTGTAACCTGATTTAGCCATCATACAATGTGCATGACTAAATGTACATTGGTTAAAATTAATTTCAATTAAAAGAATGTTAAAAATTACCTGCATATGTGCTTTCCATGCATTTCTAAAAACAGACCCATCCTTCATGAATTTCATATAATGTAGCTATATGCAATTTGAAGAGAATTGAAAATACGTCTAAATTGAGACTGGTTTTTGTCACTCATAATCTTAAGGTTCATACTTAAAATTTGTGATATTTAAGGAGTAGTACTTAACGTGTCATTGATTAGAACCGGAACAGGAATAAGCATGCTACACAGTTTAAAAGGTCATATCGATCTTTTTCATATATCTTGTATTTATCAGGATTCACTCCTACAAACCTAATGTTTGTGAACGGTATTGCTGAGTGAGAGCAAAAGGAACTTTCAAATGTTGTTACCATGATGATTTCCTTTCATGCCCGTGATCTTGCCACATGTGCACCTTCACTTTGGAATAAGATTGAGACCCAAATATAAAGGAGGAGGGAACCTACTAAAAACCCAATAATCTTTGCTGAAAATACTGAAGACGGCCCTCAGATTTCACGAATTATCTTGGCAGCTAACCAGAAGGACGTTTGACACGTTCAAAGCCAGCCCAAACAAAACAACCTCAGAGAGTGGGTTACCCACTATCATTGCCACACATCTGACAGGATTCAGCTGATTTCTCTAAAACTCATGGACAATTAATTTCTTTTCCAGATGACACTTACCCTCCAGAGATTACTGATATTATGCATTAAGAGGACACTGGTCTCACTTTAAACAATGCCCTGGAATTGGTAAAACATGAGTGTTTTATCAGAATTCCTCACTTGATTCAGAATCATCAAGTGATTGATGATTCTTGAGATGAGAGAATATGGGGAGGGGAATGACAGGATCAAAGAGTGTTACTCACAGTTGTTTGGGGATGGAATAAAGAAATCTACCAAATTTTGTTTTTAAAAGTGAAGGAAATTAATGGAATACAATAGAGGGGGTGACCTTGCTCAAAATGTACTTTTGTGTACATGGAGTTTTCACATGAAACCTCATTGTACTATTAATTAATCCTAATGATAAAAAATATAAAATCTATAATTTTCAGAAACTCTACATTGATATAAAAAATTAAAATATAAATTTAGCACATGGACTTATCAACATGCAAGATCAATATATCCACATTTTATCTGTGCTTAATTCTAAGACATTATATGATAAATGAAATTTATACAATTTCAAGATAGTGTACTAAAGTTGGAATAATTTTATCACATCAGTCATGCCTTAAAATAATGTAGGTAATTTTATCTCTGTGAAAAATTTAGAAATGGCATCCTGCAGAAATTAGAAGACTGTACATAAATCACAGGAAAGGAAAATGTCACCATTTTTCTGCCTTTAAGTCAGATTATAGTTTAATAGTTTCAAAGAATGTGTTATTTTATTCTTTAAAAATTTCTAGTGAAGTGTCTATGACCTTCTTTTATAAAAAGATAATACTACCAAATATACAGACAAATATAAAATGAACTAGAACAGTAAAAATGCTAAAGAGAAATGGTTATAGATACCTCTCTATTTGAATTTTGAAGAGAGTGCAATTGTTTTTTACTAAGCAAATACTTCTTGACAGTACTTAAAATTGCTCTTGAATTGGTAAAGCAAAATGTAATCCCTTCTGCACAGTGTTTGATGAAAAGAAAATAGGATACAACATAATTTTTCGATTGGATATGAATGAATCTCTACTAAATAACACTCCTCTTTGGGACAATGTAAATCACTAATTTCTGTTTATATCCAGTTTCTCTTTTAACCAATACCTGTATAGTGTCACAATTCTACTGACATTTCAGAATTTGACTTCAAATTTGTTGACTGAAAATAATTGAGAATTTGTTTATATACATGTATACATACACATACCAGTGTACATATTTGTCTGTATATAACTTCAAGTGTATGTATGTGCATTCATATGATAATTAAATGTTATTTTTAAATACAATACAATTTTACAGAATGTGTATTTAATAGTTACTTATCTTCAATTTAATCTAACTATATTTAAATATATAAGGTAATGTTGAATACATATGTATGGATATGTGTGTGGAGGGGGTTTCTCTTTGATTTTTTCAAGGAAGCATTTAAAACAAACAATACTTAACTCAGAATTATAAATTTTATGAGGTTATGTGATTTTTTATTAAACCTATTAATTATATATGGTAATGTGTTTCCTTGTGACATGTTCACACATGTATTTAATAGAATTTCATCATATTCATGCTTGGAATACCCTCTCTTTCTCCCCATCCTCCATCTTTTTCTTTTCCATATCTGCTTTCAGTCCCCCTTTTACTTTCATATCTGTCTTTATTTTTTCTGCTCTAACTTCCATATCTGAGAGAAAACAAGACACTATCTGAGTCTGGATTATTTCATAATGGTCTCCATTTATCCATTTTCCTTCAAATGATACAATTTTATTATGTGGATAAACAAAACTCTGTTTTCTTTATCCTTTCTTCTATTGATAAGTACCTAAGTTGATTCCATAATTTGACTATTATGAACAGTGCTCCACCAAACATAGGTATGCAGGTATCTCTATACCAAGATGACTTTATTCCTTTGAGTATGACATGATGACGTGATTGGTCAATTTCGAATTTTGGGGGGAGTTTCTGTACTGATTCCCACAGTGACTGGACTAACTTACATCCTCACCAATAGTACATAAGAGTTCCTTTTTCCCACAACATCCTTGCCAGCATTTGTTGTTATATTTTCTTCAAGATAGCCATTCTCACTGAGATGAGATGGAATCTCAAAGTAGTTTGGATTTGCATTTCCCTGGTGACTAAAGATGGTGAACATTTTTCATGAGTTTATTGGCCATTTGTACTTTATTTGAAAATAGTCTGGTTTGTTTGCTCACTTATTGATTGTATTATTTATTCTTTTCATACTTATTATTTTAGGTTGTTAATATGTGCTAGATATTGATCCCCTATTGGATAAATAGCTGTC